TCTGTAGTGTCTCTACTTTAAAGAGTGCTTTCCTGCTGATGTTCAGGTGTATGTCAGTATGTTGTGTCTCTACTTTAAAGAGTCCTCTCCTGCTGATGTTCAGGTGTATATCAGTATGTAGTGTCTCTACTTTAAAGAGTCCTCTCCTGCTGATGTTCAGGTGTATATCAGTATGTAGTGTCTCTACTTTAAAGAGTCCTCTCCTGCTGATGTTCAGGTGTATATCAGTATGTAGTGTCTCTACTTTAAAGAGTCCTCTCCTGCTGATGTTCAGGTGTATATCAGTATGTAGTGTCTCTACTTTAAAGAGTCCTCTCCTGCTGATGTTCAGGTGTATATCAGTATGTAGTGTCTCTACTTTAAAGAGTCCTCTCCTGCTGATGTTCAGGTGTATATCAGTATGTAGTGTCTCTACTTTAAAGAGTCCTCTCCTGCTGATGTTCAGGTGTATATCAGTATGTAGTGTCTCTACTTTAAAGAGTCCTCTCCTGCTGATGTTCAGGTGTATATCAGTATGTAGTGTCTATACTTTAAAGAGTGCTCTCCTGCTGATGTTCAGGTGTATATCAGTATGTAGTGTCTCTACTTTAAAGAGTACCTGGCCAGTAGGTCGAGGATCTTCTCCCTCAGGAAGCAGCTACAGGCTGTGTTATTATTCACCAGTTCTGGGTTCACTTCCTCGTTCTGGATCCAGTCGATGATCCGTCGCTGGTCGTGGAGGGACGTCCGGTAACGCCACAACAACGCCGAGTCACAGGAAGTCACCTCTGATGCAAAAACAAGAAATCTGTTTAACAATCTGTCATTTTATCAATTAGATAAATGTAATACTAATAATTAAATTGAATTGATTTGTGGAATTACATTTGCTGTTTTATTCTTTAATGGTTCATTATTTACATGTATCCAGTAAACCTGTACCTGTGGGAGGCAGTCTGGACAGCAGCACAGCCGTCCTGCAGCTCTGGTCCCAGTTCCTGACCCAGTCCAGCCTGAGGGTCGTCCAAAGCCCCCCCCCCTCCTCCTCCCTCCTCTGTAACAGCAGCTCCAGCAGAACCTCCTCCCCAACACCCCCCTCCCTGAGCACCATCTGCACCCCCCTGAGAGGGAGGAGGAGAAGGGAGACACACAGATGTTACCTAGCTATGATTAAATGCACACTAAACACATCTGGATGTTATTTAAAGAAAAAGGGTTAGGGGTAGAGCGTCTTGTAAAGAAACAGTAACTGCATGAAAAACACTCAAATGAGTCATATTTATGTTAGTCTGTTGTTTGTTTGTTTACACATGTTTGTTTGTTTACACATGGCTTGTCTTGTAACTATGTTGTTTAATGTAAATAAAGGCACCATGTGCAGTATGTGTACCTGTGTGAAGGTGTTTCTGCAGAGCGGGCAGCAGGCAGGGTCCCCAGCCTCTCCATCTGCTTCATGAACTCCACGCTCTGCACCTCCTCCTCGGGGAGCAGCCTCCGCCCTGACAGCTCCTCCACCTGCACAGGAACCAATCAGGGGCTCTGGTTAACATCTGTCAACCAATCGAAGGACTCAAAGCTTCATTCATTAACATCTGTAAAGACCTGAGCCTTGATCACATGTAAACAATCAAAGTCCTCAAATATTGTTATTAACTGTCAGCCAATCACTAGCTTCAAAGCTTCATTTGTTAACATCTTACAACCAATCAGAGGCCTCAAACATCGTTTTAACTGTTAACCTGTTAAGCTCTGAGCCTGTTTTTCAGATCTCATGCTCGAAAATGACATTATATATATCTCCACTTCTAAAAAGGGTAAATTAATAATCTTTTTTCTCAAAGCAATGATAAACCTGTGAGTTGGATGTAGAAAAGTCACAATCAATATAGATGTTTTTATTTTAAAATAAATTCAGATTGAACACAGGAAAAACATGTAAATGATAGTGTCCCTGTATCAAGATCGATGCAAAACAAGTTAAGTTTGACCTTTTTAGAGAGATTTAGAACAAAAACCCACTTCTGGGGTCATTTGGATGGATTTTCCATATCTCTGGCCCCCCTCCGTCGATTTTGATGATTGACATCTCTTTTTAATCGTTAGAGCCAATAGAATCGAGGGGAAGTTCCTAAAAATCCATCTAAACATTACCATTGGTGAATGAGTGCTGCGCAGCCAGAATGCCCAAAACCAGAAGCTGTCATACACTCTCGTAGCTTTCATAGCAGCTTGATATGAAAAGTCAGTTTTTGACATAAATATGAAGATGGATTATCAGTAATCATTTCAGAGACATTGGATGAACCTATGGATTAACCTTCAGCAGAGTTTTTATCGTTTTAATGCCATTGAACACGACTTCTGATTAGAATAACAGCTAAGGTGAGACAATGACCCGTGTTTCCTCCGTAATGCTATGTGTTTTGATGTCTGGTTTTGTTTCCCATGTCACGAGTTGTGATCCTACAGTGATGATACTTATACTTATACAATCTGTGGAATCTCAGTTCGCTAATCGATATCTTGTTTGTGCAGATCCGATAAGTAATAAGGGTATTTTACCTTGAGTTCTGTGTGTTAGAATGTTTTTGCTAGGGGGTTAATTCAGAGGCTTTGTTATTACCCTTGTGTTTTGTTTAGCTAAAAGTGGTTAATATTTTCAGATAGCTGAGTTTCTAACCGTTAAGTGGGTATGACACATTAATAGGTTTTTAAATATTAAGAAGCCCTGAGACACAGTTTCGTGAAAAAACAACCCGCAGGCCCCGGATTAGGGTCCTCTCGGGCTTAACAGGTTAACCAATCACAGGCATCAAAGCTTCATTAATTAATATCTGTAAACCAATCACAGGCCTTAAATCCTCATTAAGGTCTGTCAACCAATCACTTCAAACTCTCGTTAACATATTTGATCAATCAAGGGCCTCAAACATTGTTATTAACTGTCAACCAATCACAGGCAGTAAAAAATCCTCGTTAAAAACGTTGATCAATCAAAGGCCTCAAACATTGTCATTAACCCTCGTTAACATCTGTCAACCAATCAGGGGCCTCAAAATCTTGTTAACCAATCACAGGTCTTACCTCTTTAAATTAACTGTCAACCAATCACAGGCCTCAATCCCTCGTTAACATCTGTCAGCCAATCAAAGGCCTCAAACATTGTAATTAACTGTTAACCAATCCTAAAAAGCCAATAGCCTCAAACTCTCGTTAACATCTATCAACTGAGCATAATAAGACATTTGGTTTGAATAAAGGAAGTGTATTTGAACTCACCACAAAGTCCCGCAAGTCGTAGTCGTCGGTGAAGAGGCAGATACTGCGGAGTTGCTGCTTTACGCTGAAGCCCTGAACGCACCATCAGACAGTTTCAGATTTCACTTTCACTTTATTAAAGTATCCTCTAGATCAGGGGGTCAAACTCAATTTCATCGCGGGCCACATCAGCATTAAAGTTGAACTCAAAGGGCCGGTTGTAACTTTAAGACAATATAAAAATACATATATAAATATATAATATATATAAAATAATGTATTATATAACATTATTGCCTCTGCATTGTATTATTATCGGATAGGGTAATACCTAAATAATTAATTACGTCTGAAAGCAGAAGTCTAGGGCGAATGATTTCAAGTCTCTTCAGTGAAAATGTCACAAAATGAGATGCATTGTGGGACATGTAGTTTATGAGCAACATGCTTCTGTAAAGCAGCATGTAACCGTATAATAAACATATTATATTCTTTCAGAGCTCTTTCGGGCCAAATCAAATTAGTTTGACACCCAACATTTGTGTCGTACTAAATGCTAAATAATATTTGTTATTGGTTAAGTGGTCCTTGGTATGAAAAAGTTTAAGGAAACACTGATGTAGATGTTAGCATTGATCACGCCTGCTTTAAGCATGTTTAGCATGCACATGTTGAGCATGCACATGTAGCATGAAAGCAGGGATCTGATAGGCTGACAGAGTCCTCACCATGTTAGTGAGCAGAGTGTTGGCAGTGTGCAGGTCTCTGTGCTGCAGACAGGTGAACACCTCCTGTAGGCCCCGCCTCCTCAGAGCAGACAGACGCTGCTCCTTCAGGCCCCGCCCCCTCAGCACCGCCTGAGCCCGAGGTATCTGATTGGTCAGGATGGAGCACCGCACCACTTCCTGCAACGCACACACACACACACACACACACACACACACACACACACACACACACACACACACACACACACACACACACACACACACACACACACACACACTCTTAATGTGGTACTCCATTCCCCACTTGTCATCGTACTTTTATAAGCTTCAACGCTATATTTATTATTGAGATAAGCAAAAATAATTTGATGTTCTGAAGGCCAACACTCACTTTAATTTGAGATCAAATGAACACACTGCTGTGTTATTATGTATATTATGAAATACTTTTTTAGAATCAACCGAAACACCAAAATAATCCACGATTATCTCAGAAGGCTCCGTTCGTCACCATGTTCTCGCTCAATAAAAACATGAAAACAAAGTGTCAGTGTTTGATGAGGAGCAGTCACCTCCGTCTGCAGTTTCTCCCACTCGTCCTCCTCTTCCTCACTCTCCTCCTCTTCCTCCTGCAGGGGGGCAGCCTCAGCAGAGTTTGTGCTGCAGGTGTCGCCCCCTACAGGCCAGGGGAACCTCTTCATGTAGCTTCTGAGCTCTGTGACGTAGCGATCCAGAACCTCCACCTGCACGCTCAGGTCCTCTTCTGCAGACACAGAACAACAGCTCTTCAATTCCTGTCCATTTTACTTTGCTTCTAATGTGAGAATAATCAATACATCAACTGTTACTATGAGTTTTATTGGGTCATTGTCTGGCCATATCATATGTTATGAAAGAATGTTATTTGGTTACGCCACTAGAGGGCGACAGAAGATCTGAACGGAGCAGTAAGCGCTAAGAGGCGTGGCCAAAGGGGCCAATAGAACCTGGCCCCTCCCCGGCAACCAATGGGAGAAGACTTTAGACTTGTACAGACATGATCAAATGTGGTGTAAACAAGAGATCGAGGCTTCTTCCTGGGAATCTGAGAGACAGATAACTCCATTGTGTAGGCTGTGGATCAGTGGAATAGGAGAAGACCTCGGCCGAGTACTTTTGCAGACTTATCGTATCATCTGTTAACTTGACGAGGATTCTTTTCAGCTACTCCTACCTCATATTATAGAAACGCAACACTAGCCTAACTACTTCAAATCTTTCCATAAGTATAAAAGGATTACGTGTGTGTGTGTGTGTGTGTGTGTGTGTGTGTGTGTGTGTGTGTGTGTGTGTGTGTGTCTCACGCTGTGTGTTGGTCAGCACTGAGCGGATCTGTCTG